CTAACGACTATTTTTATTTCGATTAATCTATCGACTAATTTGTCGATTAATCAATTAATCTAAACGATTAATTTCCCGCAAAAAATCTACAATTTTAAAGAACATTTTATTAAACTTGCAACTTTGCCATTCAGTAGTGTACCATAAAAAAGTATAAATGTAAACAAGCCATTGACGAAATGAAAAACTAAAAGAGTAAAAATGTAAACAAATCTAATAAAAATTAAATAAAAAGAAAATAATTACAAAAGTCTGAGAAAGTCAGCATGTTCTTAATGTCAATATATCCACATGTTCTGGGCTTCTGTTCATTACAGCTGTGAGTGAAACTATAAAGGGGAAAAAACATGTTTCAAAGACATCTCCAGCATGATGAAAAAAATGGAGTAGTGAAACTCCAAATGAAATCCAAATCCTTTTTTAAAGCAAAAGTAAAGTGCAACATAGAGTGCAAGAAGCAAGTGTCCATCTCATAGTCCAAATCACTGAAATCAAAGTTCAGTATTATAGTGTAAGAATGACAACATGTCCACATGTTCTGGACTACTAATAATAAAATATTATAATTAATAATACATTTTTGTGGTTATAAAAATAGATGTAGGCTCAGAGTGAGGGTTTGAACTTTTATTTTGAAACCGCAAGATAATGATGTATTCTTCTGTGTTTGCATGGATTTATAAATTATTTACCTTACAAATCTGATGAAATGGCATATGTTGCGTTCCCAGATGAACGTTATAATAAACCCAAACTCACAACAACATGCACAGATGGAGTTTGAGAAGCTCCACACATGTAAATGATAACAGTTCCTGTGGAACAGCATTTACTGTGAACGGAGCCGCTGTGAGACGCACGTATGTAACCTACACGTCTATAACTGCATCACATATAATTATTTAATTAAATCGTAGCATTTGTGAATTCACAGTTATGCTTAATTATGTCTGTGAAATGCGCCACTTCCGGTATTTTGCTTGTTAGTGAAGTCGAGGATTTTGAAGTCGAGGATTTAAAAAAATCGAATAGTCAAATAGAATCAACGAATCGCGACAGCCCTAGTCATTTTCTTTTCCTCTTACCTCCATATAATGCATATTAATGTAGTGGTTATAAGCAGCTGGTTTATTTACAGCGGTAACCAAGGAAACGCTGTATCCTGCTGTTCCATAAGTGCCACCTGCTGTCAGAGAGTGAATTTGCATTTTTATTCTTTCCATCTGCTGTTTTTGTTTTGTGCAGGTGTCTTATGTAGCACAATTTCACAAATCAGACCATTCTGTTTTTGCTTTAAATCTTGAAATTATACAGTCTAAGTCAAATAAAAAACAACTGCTAATGCTACATGTATGTAGCACTACTGTCTGTTCAAAATAAATGAAAAAATACATTTCCTGTTGTACCGAACTCATATCGAACTGTGACCCCAAAACCGAGGTACTGTTACACCCATAATATATACATAATATATACAGTATTTAAATTACTGAATTGTCCAAAAGTATACATTATTATATATATATATATATATATATATATATATATAAACATAATTGATTCTATCTATCTATCTATCTATCTATCTATCTAATTTAAAATTTTATTTAACGTATAACATGGATATTTTAGGCAATATAGAAATCCTGTGGTACAAAATCTAAGGTGTGATTGAATGAGCTGCGACTTTGCACCCGTAAACAACTGAACTTTATAACAAGTTCAGCTTGACTTATTGTCACTAATATTCATGCATTTGGCTCTACCATGGCATAGCAAAATCTGTAGCGTTGCATGAAACCGTCATACCGCCCAGCACTAACACTAACCGTTTTGTGTTACAGCTCCATGTCTAACTAACTCCACACCTTAAGATCAGCGATCTAACCACGTCCTCCCGTTTCTCTCTCTTCCTTGTCTTTTTTGTTCCTTGTGTCCTTCTGCACCTCAATCTGTTCCCTTCCTTTCCTCCTGTGTAGCAGCTACACCTGGCTGTAAGTGGCTTCGCTGTGTGTGTTTCTGTGCGCATAGACGTGTCTCTCCTCTGCTGCTTGAAAGCTTCCTTTCATGGTGTACGTCAGTGTGTTTGCGTAGTTAGGACTACATGTGGAAAAACACTCACTCTGTGTGTGTGTGTGTGTGTGTGTGTGTGTTGGTGTTTTAGCTCGGAGCTTGTTTACGCTGAGTTCATTCACAAAACGCTTTGTTTACGCTGAGTTCATTCACAAACCGCTCTTTTGCCGTTTCTGTTCTAGAATTCCATTTAGAACGGACACCCCTTCTGACTTCCTCTCACCCTCCAGAGATCACAGGTTAGTCGGTCGTCTGGCTTTACAAACACGCACACATAAACACACGGCTGCACACAAAACACACATGCTGCTGATTTTCCCGCAAGTGTCTCGTGTTCTCCTTCATTTCAATTAAAGATCCAAGACAGAGCTGCAGTGTGCCATTTCTGCAATGCAATGATGTGTGGTTTCAAACAAGTTTCCTTAAACTAGTCACTGGTTGAGCCTCAAGTTAACATGCAGGACTGCTTAAACAGAGTTCTGTCATGACAACTCTCGGAGGGATTGGCATGGTAATGTACATGACAATGTTAATGTATTTGGTCTTGGTGGAATAGATCTGCTATGCTTCTGCTGCTGTGGCAGAGCAAGTACCGAGACTTGCTACTGCCAATACATCCACAACATGCTGCTGTGAGCATGTAAGAAATATTGCTGCTGCAAATATAACATACATAAAATAACCCCCATATAGCATACATGAATCACCCCGTAGCAGATCTATACAGGTGGAGCTGGGGAAGGTGGAGGGTTTCTGAAGTGCGCTACCAAATGCTACAGCAAACAAAAGCCAGGTATTTGAATATTGAGCAGCAAGCTCATTGGCTACCGATACAGGAGAGAACCAATCAGCTGAGCCATGTGATTGATGTCACCAGGTCAGATTGAGCTAGACCTATTGAACTGCGCCATCTAGAGTTCCGTGCCAGAACTCTGTATATCTAAAGAAAAAAATAGGGGAAAGAAATGTTGAACTCGGTTCTATGCATCAGTTGTTAAATTAATTTTAAGATGTGGGCATTCACTAAAAATTAATGTCAGCTTACAGTCATTGTGGAGGGACGGGAACTGGAACAAGTTTGGTTTAAACAGATTCAATGTTTATTGTTTAATTTGATAATAAATTTAATTGTTTAAAGAGTGTAATTCTTTAATTTTATTCATGGCAGTAATTATATTCCTATTCACTTTATTAATGGTTTAGAGCTAGATTGGCAAGTTTAATGTTACTTTAAACTGAGATTTCTGGTGTTCACGTGAATCAGGAAGTAGCGAGTGCAATAATAATGGCTCTCTTTAATCACTTTTTTTTCTGTAATAATTTACCTTGCAACAGCATCGCTTGTACGTATGTAATTGATTTACAGCAATGCTCATTATACCTGTAAATAAATGTGAACTATTATGGTTAAAGTGAATTATTAATCATTTTCACTGAGCTATCGCATTAGCCACATTCTGCTTTAGCGTCATATCGATGTATTCTGTATTTACAAAATAAAAGGTCTGGGCTGCGTTTCCCGAAACCTTCTTAACGCTACGTGATTCTTAAGTTATACCTTAAGCTGTACCTTATCGTTAATATGTGTTTCCCGAAACATTCTTAGTTAAGTATACCTTCTTTATATATAAAATATATTATGATAATATAAATGACCCTCTTAAAGGCCAGTGAAGGCATACTGCCAGTTAGTTATATGTATGATACGTTTGGGCATGAGGTTGCGGGTTCGCACACTCATTTCGAAAATATTAAAAATATCCAGGGTTGGATTTAGTTTGCAATTTGGATTATTTTTATAAGATCCCATGAGCCCTAATAAATGCAATTTCAAGTATTTCTGAAGTGCTCCTTTTTGGAAAGCACTCTTACCAGAATGTTTTTCTGTTGGTCTTGTGTAGACCCAAAGTGTTTTTTTTTTCTTTTGTTAAAAACTCTTAAATTTTCAAATCTGTTTTCCCCCTTGTAATTTATGTGGTGACCACTGGGAGGTGTTCTGGGTATATATTTTTCTTTCTTGGTTTTCTTCCCTGACATGATGTATGTTGCAACGCGGAAGTAAAAGTTTCACGCACGTTCTTTGCTGCATTCTAAAAGGAAAGAGTTCAGTGTCTTTACTTAAAATCATCACTCATTTTTAAAGAACACATCTTTCTCACATAACGCACTGCATAGAGTGAATAATCCATTCTCTAGCCATCAACCAATTCAGCACCACCGCCATGGACAGCATCTGGTAACATTGCATGTAAGAAGGTAAACCTTAAGCAACCTCCTAAGGAATAGTTTGGGGAACACGCCTAGAGAAGGTACACCTTTAGTTAAGATATACCTTTAGAGTCTTCATAGGAGACAACGTTATCAGGAAATGCAACTCATGTTTGTTTCCAAGCATCACAGAATATTATATTAATGTGAATGTTGTTATTATTGTGTAGTTTCTGGACATTATTAATGTTTTAATGTATGAATTTGTTTAATTGTAGTTTCACTCCATGCCAAAGACCATTAAACCTGTGGGCAAACAAACTTCTTGTCTTCAGAGTTGTGTGAGGGAAGGGAGTTTATCTGTCTGTCAAAACAAACACCAAAGCTATGTTGAGGACATTACAGTACACTTAATTCTTGGAGCAGCATACATCACCAGAGGAAAGCCTGTTGTTTTCACCGAAACATTTAGTTATGATATATTTAAAAAAAGAAGGATACATCTTTCACAATATGATCCTTAACATGCATTTGCAAAATAAAAATTATAAAATTAATACAAAATAAATTTTAAATATTACTTTTTTGAGGGGTTATGATATTTTACAACTTAAACATTGTCATAAAAAGTTACAATTATATTTATTAAAAATAAATAAATGCCAGGACATGTTTAAGGGTTTTCGTAAATTTATGGACATTTTTTACGCAATGCAAAGCGTAATTCAAAATATGGGACAAACACTACCGAAACAATTCATGTGAAAAATTCCATTAAATTACCACAGCACATTTGGCCCTATTTATACTTTTCTTACAAATCTAAATTAATTTTAATTCAGAAATGAATATTTTAGTAATTGCATGACACAACATTAAAGATAGCTCAAGTAAAAAAAAAAAAAAAAA